ACTCTTAGTAAGGTACCCAAACTTTCCTCTTTCTACAACAAACAGTTTCACCCTTTAGACCACTCCTAGTAGTTCAAACCATCCAAAGGTGTGATAGAAATAGGGAAGTTTCCCATTTAAGCACCTATACTAAGCATAGGCAGCTTCCAGGAACTCCAGACATGGCAGAATAGCAAAAAAATACTGCCACCAACAGGTTGCTTGAACTACTACACAAACCTAGCAAACAGCAGCAAAACAAAGGCAGGAACTGCAGCAACCATGCCCTCTTGTACCACCACACAATCAGAGATCACAACTCTCTTGCGATAGCAACTGACCAAAGATCAAAACACCTGTTGGGTGTTCGAAAGAAGCATGACTGGCCCATGTAGATGGTAGGCCATGTAAATCATAACAGAAGTTCACGGTATGTCCTTTACACCCACAGTGGAAACACTTACTGTACCCTGTCCCCCAATAACCCATCCTCTAACAGCACCTTATCCCTACCACCTCCACGTCCACCTCTTATGCCATGACCACCCCCTTAACATTACCATCCCTGCTACACATACCACACCTCTACCTCCCCTGGTTGCAACCAAAGTAGATTTCTCAGAAACAGAACTACCATTTTGTGGGTTAGAATCTCTTCTCACTAATATGGGGTTCCATGCTGTTCCAAAGACAAGTCATAATTCATGCATCCTTCGCACCCAATTAGCATATCCAGCAAAACCTATATCTGGTTTGCCATCCATAATGTATTTGAATTTCCCTCTAGCAGTTGGATTCGCCTCTGCTGATTTGGCCAGGGAATGTAGTTTGCACCATTGAGTTTCAGAGGTCATCTGAACAGCCATGAAGTCTAGCTGTATTACTACACTAGACTTGGTCCCACTACCCATAGAAACCATAGCACATATAAGGAACACAGATACACTATTTCCGCAAAACTTCACCAAAAAAACCACACACCAAAATAATAGACCACCAACAACAATTTTTACTAGTCTGAAAGCATAAACACCATAGCCGCAACTCAGGATAAAACACAAAACACCTTTTCTAACAGTTATCCAACTTCAAAAATACATTGTGGGCATAGAAACCCTTACATCATCACATGTTTTAACACATCACTCAATAGAAAGTCCAAGAAATTAAACAACTGACCTGTACCAACCATAACAGTCACTCTTTGAATCACCAATTAGAGGGAATCTAAAAAAAACACCAACAAATTCCACAAGCACTGCAACTTGAGGCATGGAAGCCTCTTTTTCTAGTGGGCAATCAGTTCTTTTTAGTCCTCTTGCCTTCAATGTCTGGAGAGAATTATTTGTTGACAGAGGGCTGCATGGCATCTGGAACAAACCAGGTCAATCACTTTGGCTCTAATACCATGTGATCAGATCTAAAAAAGTAGAAATAAATAGAAAAAAAAGGCCTAGAAAATATTTACAATCAAGGGAGAAAGAAGAAGAGAGAATGAACTAAGGCTGGAAACAGAAGAAACCGAAACACCCCTACCAACTCTAACATAAAACAGAATATAATATCTAACACTCACCAAGGTTTGGAATAACAAAATTAATACAGGCCAACAAAGAACTCAGCTCCTCTATTTCCCAATAGTGGATGTTTCTCCTAAAGACTCAAGAGTCCATACCACTTGACCACTAGTAACTTCAAAACAGTCCTGCACCAGAGCATCTTTGTCACTAGCTGCTCCAAAAATGTGTGGGAAGGAGATGCTAATGGAGAGGAATCACACCAGGTGTCTTTCCAAAACCTGACATTTTCCCCATTTCCCACCTTGAAGGAACACCCCACTGGGAAAACAGAGACAGATTCTTTACAATACCTTTCCAACAGCTCATACCATAAGGTTGGGAGACAGGATTTGTAATCCACAACTCCTTGCCATATTTTCTTTGGATTAGCTTCCTCCACATGGCCTCTTTCTCGTCACCAAACAGCTAGATCCACTTGCCAACAGGGAAACATTCACAGCATTCGAAGCTCTCAGCCCAATTCCTCCTTTGTCATTTGGGAGGCAGGCCTTGTCCCATGCCACCAAATGCAATTTCTTTTACTCCTCAGGTCTCACCAAAGCTTTTCAAGTTGTGCCGAGGTCTCAGCTGGTGCAAGGAAAAGAGGGGAAAAAAGGAAAAAAGACAAGAGATAGATAGATAGATAGATAGATAGATAGATAGATAGATAGATAGATAGATAGATAGAGAGAGAGAGAGAGAGAGAGAGAGAGAGAAACTTCTCTTGTTTTCTTGTACTATTGATACACTACTACTTTAACCAATTCGCACTCAACTGTTTGGTATGAGAGCAGGAGAATCAAGAGCTTTTTTTAGAGTCTGGCAACATCATGGCATTCAGATGATAATTGAAACTTACACCAGATGAGGATGGATTTCACTGCTTCATAGAGAATCTTTTTTGGGTTCAAAAGATAATTTTTTTAAGATTCTTTGAAGGCTGTAAGTATTTTTTTGAAGGATATTTTCTATAAATTTCCAGAAAAAAAAAAGTTTATGTTGTTTGGTAGATTTGCTTGAATCAGTGAAATTTTAATATTTGGGGCTGAAAGTTTGTGATTTAGATCACTTTTTATGATCTACTGAATATGGTTTAATTAAATTTGATGAAGTATGGAGTGTGTGGAAGCCAATTTTAATTACTTATTTACCTCACAGCCTATCATTGTTTCTTTTTTGACTTGTTTTCTAGAAGGAATGGTTGAAGTTGATGTATCCCAGTCTAGTGACACAGTTTGGTATGTCTGGAATAAAGTGTAGTGGTGCTACTGCTCTCTGAGGTAGTGTTTGGGGTTTCTAGTGTGCCACACACATGTAGGCACTGTTTGACTTTGTGAGTGTCCAATATCTTGTGGGTCGTGTTTAACCCAAGGACTAATTTGGATGTTCTATTGGAAAGCAGTGCATTGATTTCCTTCATCATGTCTGTTACAAGATAAAAAGATGCTCCCAAACAAGAGATCAGCTCTTATAATCTCTACACCCCCTTCAAACTGATGTTAAGGAAGAAGCATCAGTTTGTTAGATAGAAATTTGTGGCAAGGATGAGTTATAGCCTTGGTGAAAAGTTCAGAGTTCAGATCATATAACCGGTAAGTCTGAGTTTCTCTCATCCTACACTAAATGTTTTGGGCATGATAAAGTTCACATTGCTGATGGTTCCATTTCCCCCATTGCTGGAAAAGGAACTATTACATCCATGCCTAGTCTTACCATCACTTCTGTTCTTTCTTATGACAGTTGGATCTTTGAATTTCTTCCAAGTGGAATTTGTGCCTACTAGGTCTTTATATTCCACTTCTAACCAAGTAACCAACTACTCCTGTTCCTAAAATGGCCTTTCAAACATCCAATAGTACCTATTGATAGGAATTATTGGTAGTATAATTTTAGCATTCTATTGGTTGGTATTACTATTAGGAGAACTTCACCAAAAACTAAGTAGTTTTTTTTTCATTTTTCCTTTATTTTTGTAATGTTTTATAAGCTAAAATTATGTTTTTTTATATTTTTACTTAATTAATCATTTATCTATTTGAGTTTTGGGCAACATATAATTCCAAAAGACTAAGAATAATACCTGATAACAGGGAGAAGGAATGTGAATAAGCATTCTTTTTTTTTTCATAATTAATAAAATATCGAACACAAAAATGGTGCCTCCACTAGATTTAGGATTTAGTGGGGATAACTTTAGAAATATGGAAAATTAATGCAAACCGTTTTCTACACTATCTTTAATTGGCATAGAATATTGAAATCATACCTTTTCTTTGGGGAAGTGGACAAATAATGGGAAAAAATAACCACTCCAAGGTTTTTCAAATCAAAATCATGAAATTGGTACATATACATATACTATCAAACCTTTTTTTTCTTTTGGTAAAAGGGCAGTCATTAATAAAAGGAAACCAGCAAAAAAGCTACATGAAAACCAAAATACGCAACAAACAAACAGAAAAACTACACGGGCCTGCTATCAGCTCCAAATGAGGCTTCCCCAGCCAATGAAGATATCACCCAACCAGGGGCCGTGGAAGTACCTAGAAAGGCACCCTCAGAAGCTAAACCCAAACAAGCCGCTAAATTGGCTAAAGCTATTGCCCAAAGTATATGACTATACATTGAGACCCACCTCAATCTGCAAGATGTCCCTAGCAACAAACCAGATAGACTTATCAGAATCCACTTCAAAGGAAAAGAAAACTGAGATTAGCTACTTACAATCATTTTCAATTACCAACTGACCCAGACCCACATCTTTGACAAAAAGAAACACTCTTTTATGGCTAAAGCCTCAGCATAAACAGAAGATAATGCTTTTAACTTCCCAAACTTCATAGCTTTGACAATTCCTTTCTGATCTCTAAGAACAAACCAACAGAACCAAGGTCTTCACAAGGTCAGGTTCAATCAATTTGTAGATTAGACCACCGATAAAGCCAGAAGCTTACTTGAGAACTGTGTAAACTCAACTATAAAAGTGAAAAAAAATATAACTGACAGAAAAATCAGGGGCATTTCCTACTGATTAGAAAAAAAATCAAGGATATGTCCAACAATAATATCCAAATGATTTACATTTCTATCATTCCATATCATATTAACCAGTGGGGAAAAAAGGCACCAGACAAGTATGGAAAAGGATGCACCTAGTGGCACCTGCAGTTTAAACTTTATCATTCTTTCCAGAATATATAACTTATTACACAAACATAATGATAGACAAAAAGTATGCATTCGATGTTTTTTCTGACTGAACCATAATTATGTCAAAAAGGATTCAAAGTAAATGCAATTCTTTCATGAAAAATAATGTGGATGAAACGGATATGAATTCACACAAGTAATAACTCTTTTTTTTTCTGGTGACTTCTGAGTCAAATAAAGCACTTCAACCCGTTTCAAGGGATTTATGAAAACACAAAAAGAAATAGAAGATATGCAGGTACAGAAACTCACTTGATGTTTACACCATCATTGGAGATAGGAGAAGAGACATTGTTGGACACCCATTTCTCAGCTGCCTTCATACTGCCTGCAATAGTGGCCAGCATGTCATTGGGTATCCCCACCATCACCTCAATTCCAGTCTTACCAAGAGCTCTCAAAGTCGCTGAATCTGCATCAAAGAGCTTCACCTTCTGAAACCCATTATCCCTGAGCAGCCTGACCACCGTTGAAGGCGGCAAAGGGTGGCTTGACTGTGTACCCCAGTTGGCACCAATTCCACCCACTGACACCACCAAAGAGAACAAAGAAACTACACCAGCAACCACAGAAAAGCAACCCATAATCCCACAAATCCACCTCCCCAACGCTAAAACAACTCCCCAGTAGACAAACAAGATAGAAACCGAAGTGGTTCCGAGCTTATAGCTTTTCTAGAAAAAGGATCCAGCCTTGCTCGTCTCTCTCCTCGGATTTCCACCAAAATAATACCCTAAGAACCAGAGAAGATGATCCAAAACCTACTTATGAAATGGGATTGAAGCTAAAGTTAAGCTAAACAGAGAAAACAAGTGATGAAGGGATCCCGAGCTTCAGAAAACACTGAAAAGATGTTTGTTTTCTGTTCCTGACATCTTAAGACAATTTACACACTAGAAGCATGCACAACGAAAATGCATATAAGGTACAATAATGCAAAGGAAACTGGAGAAGGAAAATGGAGGAAGAAGTGAAAGCGGACTAGATTAGAAATCCCAAAAGATGCAAAGAAAAACCATAAGGATTTCTGCAAAAGCAGTTGGACTCTGTTCTACGGCTTAAAAGTTGGAACCAGCCAATAAGCATGAGAGGTTGAAGAAAATGAAAAGGAAACAAGACAAGTTTGGATTTTGTGAAGGTGTCGAGTCTTGAGATGGGTTCTAAACCAGGTAATACCTTTTAAGAAAGAGCACAGAGCTATCAAGTGACACTAGACGGAGAAAAACCACTGGTAATCCAAAACAACAACAACAGGTAAAAAAGAAATCCAAAAAAGGAAGCTTAAAGAGATCGTATAAAAGCGGTATTATTGTGGAAATGAAGCTAAGAATCTTTGAGCTGGAGTAGAAACCCAGCTCAAGAATCTACCAACACAAAAGATTAGGAAGACAAATCTAGAGTTACTAGTTAAAATAAATATGAAGACAGTGATAAAGCGTGAGCTCGTATTTATCATTTCTATTTTTTTTTTTTTTTCCTGTCTTCTTTATCTATCTTTGAGCTGTTTCTCCAGAAGGCTGAAGCCACGAAGGAAGGAGTTCGCAGGGGCTCTTCTCTCTCCTTCTGCTACATATTGAGGAGTGAGAACTGAGAGGTGAGACCGTGAGAAGCGAATAATTCGATGTAAATTCAATCATCACCAAACGATTCAAAAAGAAGATCCTAATCCAACGGTGGACAAAGAATGAAGACATCATCTAGTCTATTCCCATCAATAGTGAGATCATTTAATTAAAAAAGAACTGATAATAAATTCAAAAGAGACAGACTTAAGTGTTCTCGTCATGTCACAAGTGTCCAGATTTCAAAAAATTTCAGCGTATTTTCGGAATTCTGGTGATGCCTTATGGACCGTTTGATATAAACTAGTGCTCCTCCTCCAATCAGATGTGCATACATGGAATCATTTTAGAAGAAACATGTGAGTGATGGTGTTTTATTCGATGTTACGATGAGGCCACCCTCATTGTAGAACACTTCAGATCATAAGCGAATAAAATATCAAATATTAATAAAGGGTAATTTGGGAATTATAGGCATAATATTCTCTTGAGCTGTCTGCCTCTGACTCTCTGCCAGGTTGTTTTTTGGTTAACGCCACGTCAGATAAGGACAGGGATGAAGAAAGCAACAAAATTTACTTCACTTTTTTTACTTTTACTTATATCGAGGATCTACGGCTCTGCCTTTGGGTTTGGGCTTTGATTGTGATGATTCCGTTCGGTTTACCGTTACCCACGTCACGTCCATCATACGGCCGGTAGGGTAATTCACATCTTCGCCCCCACACAGCATATCCCAACCGTGTATTGGGAACATTTTTCCACTATGTTCTCAATGCACGCTGAGATATGCATGTGGGGCGCAGTTAATGATGTGAATCCAATAGGGAATAATTTTGTGAATATTCAGAGTTGTTTGGGGGAATAATTTTACTTAATTATGTTGAAAATTTATTATATCTTTTAATAATAGCGGTGATGCGGCTAATGATTCATAAAAGGAATTAGTTCTTTTGGACTGCATATAACAGTAAAAAAGAGATAATTCCTTAAAAATATGGAATGGCAAATGCAGCCTTAGAGAACAATCTACGGCCTAGGGTAATACATTAATATTATCCTTTTGGTTTTACAATTCGTCGTGGTAGTGATTTTGGTCTTTACACACGTAGGAGGTGTTAAAGGTTTGACCTATGTGGCACTATAACAAGTTCAACAAGAGAGTAAAGATGAAAGAAACAAAAGCAATATTCAATGAAAGATGTATTTTCTCCCTAAAACCAATTATGTATTAGAAGCTCGACGAGTCTTATATATGGCAGAGGGAGAAAAAGGTTTCCAACTTTGACAGTTAAACATTACATTGAAATAGTTAAACAAAAGGGTGGTTAAATCAATCGGACACTCAAAATCCTAAAATGAAAACTAACAATTATATCTGATTATTAGAATTCGATGGTTATTTGGCATGATCTTTATTCATGGGTCTATCTATTCGATGATTGTTAGAGGTTGAAAATCAACTTCAGTACTCTTAACATTTAATGGGATCAAGCTCGAAGAGTAGGGCATGAGTTATGAGTGAGGTGACCTTCTAAAGCTTAGAATGATCTCATGGTGGCTCATTATTCTTAGAGTTAGATCGAAAATTTGAGAAAGAGAGAGAGACAACACAGCCAAATGATGGGTAAGACACCTTGTGTCAATCGACACCTTAAAAGAAATATTTATATTAAGTTATAAAAGGACAAATCAGCTCTTAATGTACAAGAGAAATATAATACAAAGAAAAATATATAGAAAAAAAGTAAAAGTACAAAAATAGCCCTATGGCTAGATTTCACTATCTCTACACTCCCCTTAAACTGATGCCTAGGAATAAGCATTAGTTTGTCCATGAGAAATAGATGCCGAGCCCGTGTCATTGCTTTAGTTAACAAGTTTACCAGTTGGAGCCCAGAAGAGACATGAGGAAGAGATATGGTACCCTCGAGAAGGAGATTGCGAATGAAGTGGCAATCAACTTCTATGTGTTTGGTGCGCACATGGAAGACAGGGTTGGATGCAATTTTGATTGCATTGGTATTCTCTATATAAAGAGGAACAGACAGTGGTGGCTCATTTAGTATTTCAAATAAAATAGCCCAAAGCCATATGATCTCACTACACATGGAAGACATAGCCCTGTATTCAGTTTTAGTGGAAGATTTGGGCACAGTAGCTTGTTTCTTGCACTTCCATGAGATAAGGGAGTTGCCTAGGAAGACACACCATCTAGTCATGGACCATCGGGTGTCAAGCATCCAGCTCAATCAACACCCGCATAGGCCATAAGATGAATGGGAGATGATGAGGAGAAGAATATCCCATGTGACAGTGTGCCTCATACATATCTTATAACCCGATGAACTACAAATAAATGTGGTTTTCTCGGAGAAGACACAAACTAGCTTATTATTTGAACTGCATAAAATATGTTTGGTTGAGTCATGGTGAGATAGATTAAACTGCACACTAGTTAACGATAAAGGGTAGTGATGAAGGGTGATTTGGCCCGACCTCGTAGCCCGGGGACACGTGTATATGACCTGGCCCAGTGTACAACTCAGCCTGACAACACGACCGCAACTCGACGGGAGAGACACGCTGAGTCCAACGCTGGCCACTCAGCGGGTTAAGCAACTCGCCGGGGACTGACGCCTGGCCAATTGTGACTTCCACCAAGTGTGGAAGGTCCCGAGCTCCCCCTAAGAGGCCCGGAGCTCTCCCTTCCCAAAAAGGGAGCACCCTAGCTCGTGGTTAAGTGTCCCGAGCACCTCGGGACAGCATCGTCCTCCCTCCCCCCAGTGCAACACCTTGGCACCTCGGTACAGAGACAAACCTACCCCAGACAGTCCGGTGCGCGGTAGCTCGGTATGTTGTGGGGAGCCCTGTCTGACATCCGTACCCACCGAACCCAGTAGCAAGGCTCTGATCTCTTGCCAGGCGGCGTTCTGCCTGCCAAGCAACGTTCTGTTTGCCTCCTCTGGAAGGCATGACACGTCTGTCAAGCCCGTACCTGGCAATGGTAGTTTGTGGCGGCCACCTGCGCCTGTCACACCTGCCCTGGCATTAACAGCGATGGTGGTTATGCCAGGTGTGACTAGACTCCAATATAAAAGAACCCGAACCCACACAGAGAAAAGGTATTGAAGCTTAAGCACTTTGAGCACTCTTACTCTCTACTCTCTATGAGATTTCCTCCAGTTCTAACTTAGCCATCTGAGTGTTCCCACCGGGATAACTCCCCGGGAACCCTTCACTTTTCCTTCCTCTCAGGTGTCGTTCGTTCCAGTCAGAAGCTAAGTCACAGCCAGGTAGGAGTGCCCAAATCGTGCAGCATCAAGTAGGATCTTCAAGGGGAGACCCATCATCTTTGTTGAGTTTCAGGTTTAGTTCTAGTGGAGTGTCCACAATCTTAGAATCACTAAGATTTGCTAGTTTAACCAAATCAGCTGCATATTTCTGTTGATTAACAAAATAGCCTCAAGAATTTCTGCTCACTTCAAAGCCCAAGAAATATGTCAGCGGCCCCAAGTCTTTCATCTTGAAGGATTCATTGAGTAACTGTTATAACCTAGAAATTCCTTCTATGCCATCCCCTATAATGAGTATATCATCAACATAAAGGAGTAATATCGTTACTCCATGCTTCCGCCTTAGGGTGAACAAGGAGTAATCAAAAGAACTCTGAAGAAAGCCAACATTAGTGATAACAGATCCGAACTTCTCAAACCAGGCCCTAGGAGCTTGCTTCAGGCCATAAGGTGACTTCTTTAGACGACAAACAAGCTGCGGATCTATACAATATCCTGTGCAACAAGCCTAGCTTTGTATCTATCTGGGCTTCCATCAGATTTTAGTTTCACAGAATAGACCCATCGGCTTCCTATGAGAGATGTCTCAGGTGGGGCTTTGACTAGGTCTCATGTGTCATTCTCCAAAAGAGCTTGAAACTCAGAATCCATTGCATCTTTCTAGTGTGGTTCTACTACAACCTACTAATAAGATATGGGAATGTCTGTGGTAGATAAAATGGTAGAAAAGGAGTTATGTTCTAGTGAATAACCATAACGGTTAGGTGGATGAGAAATTCTAGAGGAACGGCGTAAAGTAGGAGCAATAGATTCAGAGGGAAGGTCTTGAACACTTACTGAGGCAGTTGGAATGACTGGATCAGCAACTAGAGGCGGAGCAGAAGGGGGGATGGAGACTGAAGTAGGTCTAAAGTTGTTGCGGGGGTGACAAAGGAATATCTAATGTACCTGTAGAATCAAAACTATGTAGCAAGGAAACAAAAGGAGCTGGGAACTTCACAATATGTTCAAAAAATGACACACTTTCAAGAAAAACTACATTACTAGAAATTTGAAGACGACGAACCAAAGGGTCATGCAAAGATACCTTTTATGTTCAGAGCTATACCCCATAAAGGCGTATAAATCTACTTGTGTAGTTAACTTTGTGCGTTCATGGGGTGGAAGGTGGACAAAACAAGCACATCCAAACACTCTGAGCATGGATAAGTCTAGGGATTTGTGGAAGAGGGATTGAAAAGAAGAGGAGTTGTTCAAAACTGATGACGAAAGATGATTTATGAGATACACAGCAATGCTGGCCGCCTCCACCCAAAACTAAGAGGGTACGTGGGAATCCTGTAGAAGAAGTTTGACTACACTCAAAATATGCCAGTTTTTCCTTTTTGCAACCCTATTTTGTTGTGGGGTGCCTGGACAAGACTTTTGGGTTTGAATTCCATGTTGATTTAAGTAGTTTTAGAAATCGCCATCAATATACTCTCCCCCTGAATTCGATCGTAGCACACAAATTCGGGCATTAAATTGAGTGGTAACATAGGTGTGAAAGTGCTGAAATACGGAGTATACTTCAGATTTCTTTCGAAGAAAATAGGCCCAAGTGAAACAAGTGTAGTCATCAATAAAGGTTAAAAAAATATTTAAAACCCATCCGTAAGACAATTGGAAATGACCAAACATCACTATGTATTAAATAAAAAGGGA